ACCCCAACCTGCCAAAAAAAAAAAGAAAAAAAAAAAATGGATCCGAGATGATGTATTGTAACTATTTACATTGTTCAGACTGTTGTCCTCATCTTTGTCACATTCACAATGTTTCGACCATTGTACGTTCCGGCCTTCATCAAGTGATATACGTTGGAATTTTGAACTGGATGCTTTATTAAGTCCCCAACAACACATGGCCCAGTGGATACGTGACCCAAGTGACTTGTGAGTTCAATACCTGGCCACAGCAGAGGTCAACAAAACTTGGGAGAATTGAGTTACTGAAAGGAATTAACTGAAACTGAGATAGCCAGAAAAGGGCATGACACGTGGATCTACACCTGTTGACTAAATAAAGATATCGGTTTGAAATTCTAACGTATATCACCAGAAGAAGCCTGGACCATACCACAGTCAAAATGTCACGAATATAAAAAAGATGAGGACAACTGTTCAAACAATATAAATAGTGTAAATGGATCATTGATATTCATTTAGGACTGTGAGAGAAAGAAAGCCATTCACAGATGATGCTGTACTGGGAAGTGTGGGTGGGCAAAAAAAAAAAAAAAAAGAGACAAGTGATATTATCCATAAATCTATTGAGAAATTAATTTTCTGTTTGAAGAGAATAGGCAAAAACCTTTGTCTTCCCACACCTTTCTTCCCTTCATCTTGATAATTCCGAGTAAGCAATTGCCACACTTGTAATGACCAGAATCACCATCTTTTTTTTTATTTCTGGTTCTGTTCAACTGCAGATTAAATTTCACTAAGATTTCTAATCAAAGTTGTTCAAAATATGTCAGATATAATCCACTGTAAATATTGCTAAATATATTTATCTGATATACATCAACATAGAAGTCATCATGTCCAGTATGGCTAATGAGGTGATTATATTTGGTTGTTTTTTTTTTTATGCTTCACAAGACAATGTACCAGATTAAGCTAGCCATAGTCTCTCTTGAGATACATGCAAGTACTTCAGATTGACCCATTTGCCAGTATCTGATCAAACATCAAATTTTGGGTGATAGGCAAGAGAAGGATGGTTCTTCTTGGTTGAATCGAGAACTTTTTAGCAGTTCTCTCAAAAGTGAAGTGATATCCAAAAGTTCTAAGAATCTTAATTCAAAATGAAGACGGGACAAATTCCTTTTTTTTTTTTCAGTTTTCTGTATAGAATCTTGAAAAAACTGAGATACTCAAGGGGACTATTTCAAATTAGATGGTGAAAATTAGATGGTGAAAATGAGATGTAATTGAAGATTTTTCCAAGATTTTTGTAATGGTTAGATTTTGGGTAATGCTTTGTATATGAAGTAACATTTGAAAATAACCATACTCTGCTACAATCAATATATGTAAAGACAAAAGTTTTCTTTAACAAAAGTATTGTCAAGAGTGTGTTGGGAGCGGGTATGTTAATATGATGTAACAAAATGCACAAATACTGTGAGTGGTATCAAATGAGATTACATACATCTTATTCAAAATACGCAATTAAATCAATATATTTCATTCCTCAATATTATTATATATATTTCATTCATCAAGTTCACACACACACACAAATAAAAGTCAGGTGAGCACACATGCATTAGTAGTTCAGGTTAAAATAATGGTGTCAAAATATTTTTGATGATACAGGCCCGTAGCCAGGAAAAATATTGTTGAAATAAATTTGCTTAAAATTGTATTAAAAAAAATTTCAAAAATCTTGTAGAGTTTGTAAAAAATTATTCTTAATCCAACTCAATTTAAAAATTTCCAGTAAAGACTTAAATGTTTATTCTTTTAATTTTACATAAAATGGTACAAATTTAGAAGACATTTTTTTTTTAGAACAATAGATTAAAATATGCCTGAAAGAAATAGGATTTTAAGTAAACTACAATACAGAAAGGAGAGAGAGAAAAAAAAAAAAAAGGTGTGAATGTATTAACCTTTTCAGAAAAAATAAATATTAATTTATGATTGCTAAAACCAAATTATCACTAGTTTTTATTACTACAAGATTGTATTGTTAATGATTCAAATGAAAAACTTAAAATACTTCATTCAGATAGAGAGAATATTTGTAGCAGGATAATTAAAGAAAGAATTAATGTCATCCTATAAAAAAGAATCTTGGGGTAAAAAAAAAAAAAATAAAAATAAAAAATAAAATTGCAGCATTTTAAATTTCAAACAAGTTCATGCTGTGTAAATTCAAATGTATCCATTTTTATTTTTGTAGAAACAAAATTGTGATCTTATAAATAAACTTTCATTATATAATTCTGTACAGAAAAAGACTTTGAAAATTAAGTGAATTTTCAAGTACTACTTTTTAAGGTCTAAGTGTTTTAGCAACGGGCCTGTAATAAAAGCTCACTGTAAATAAAAGGTAAAAATTTATGTATAGAGATAAGTATGAGTCTAAGATGTGACCAAAAACAAAAATTAATGGCAAATATTTTGTGAGTAACATGCAATTTGATTAACAAAAAAAAAAGCAGTTTGTAATAAGTTTGTAAATATTAGTTGGGTGCTACAAGCATATACACAAAGAAAATGAATAAAAGCCCAACTAATAAGCAAAATTATACATTTATATAAAAACATTTCAACAAAGTCCACTTTTTGAAGAGTTTTATAATACACATAATGGATACCAATCCCTTTCATGATCAGTGCATAAGATAATTTGTATAACAGTTTAGTTCTTAATAAATAGTACTGGAATTAGAGCTCATGAAAACAATTTCATTTAATAATAATTATTTAACATATAATGGTAAGACTTTAGTGGCAATGGTGTTTCAATCTAGTTAATGTCTTCCCATTATTTGGGAAGTATATCTACTGCACCCTTTTGTTCTTATTAAGAAAATAAAAGGGGAGATAAGAGATGAGAGAGAGAAAAAAGGGAGAGAGAGAGAAAAAAGGAGAGAGAGAAAAAGGAGAGAGAAAAAAGGGGAGAGAGAGAAAAAGGGAGAGAGAAAAAAGGAGAGAGAAAAAGGAGAGAGAGAAAAAGGGAGAGAGAGAAAAAAGGGAGAGAGAGAAAAAAGGGAGAGAGAGAAAAAAGGGAGAGAGAGAAAAAAGGGAGAGAGAGAAAAAAGGGAGAGAGAGAAAAAAGGGAGAGAGAGAAAAAAGGAGAGAGAGAAAAAAAAAAGGAGAGAAAAAGGGAGAGAGAAAAAAGGGAAGAGAGAGAGAGAGAAAAAGGAAAGAGAGAGAGAGAAAAAAGGGAAAGAGAGAGAGAGAAAAAAGGGAAAGAGAGAGAGAGAAAAAAGGGAAAGAGAGAGAGAGAAAAAAGGGAAAGAGAGAGAGAAAAAAAAGAAAAATTGGAATACAAATAAAACAATATAAAGGGCTTTAAATATATTTCTAAAATCAGAAATAATATTCTTGTAAGTGTATAAAAATGTATTTTTGAAATACTTTAAAAAAAAAAAATCTATTTGATCATGAAAGGTTTTGTGGACAATCTGATAAAAATCAAACAATTTATAATTTATCAAGCCATTCCATAATTAATTGGCATTGACAAATTTTTTCCCCAAACAAGAAAAATGTTATAACATACTGAAGTAAAATACTTCTAATTTTGTTAAAAGCTAGCGCTATCAAAATGTAGGTTTATATGCTCAATACAAAAATATTCATAGAATGGCAGGATAAAGAACTGTAACTTAATGTAATATGTAAAACACAGAACTATTATGTGAGGGTGCTGAAAAGTTATCAGCTTGACTTACTTCCCAAAAATCTATCCAAATGACCAAGCCTGGGAATTTATCAGATTTTAGGGAGTGGGTAGAGACAAGAACTTTTTAGCATCCCTGTATACATATACACATGACAAAAAAAAAAAAAAAAAAACAAAAAAAAAAAAAAAACAAACAAACATTGATTTTGTTTTTTAACACATACAAATCAAAGTCTGTCTATATTTCTGAGATGAGGTATTATGTACATTATTTACATTATTCGGACTATTGTCCTCATCTTTGTCGCCATATTTATCACAACGTTTCGGCCCTTGTATGCTCCGGCCTTCTTAACCTGGTTAAGGCAGTGGAGAACTTGGAGTGGGGAATTAACAGATCTGATAACTGACATCCATCAAACATTGAACTCACTCTTTATCCACTGTGCCATGTGTCCTCAAGGACATATGGCACAGTGGATAAAGGCATTGGTTAGATCCAGTGACAGGACCCAAAGAGTGTGAGTTCAATACCCGGTTAAGACAGTGGAGAACTTGCAGAGGGGAATTAACAGGAGATAACTGATAACTGACATTCATCAAACATGGCACATGGAACCAGAAAAGTCTACCCCGGTGAGCGAAATAAAGGGTTCAGTTCGACATTCCAACCACCTGAAGAAGGCCGGAGCATACAATGGCCGAAACGTTGTGATAAATATTGTGACAAAGATGAGGACAATAATGTAAATAATGTACATACAAATCAAATTAAGCAAAAATTTCTCAAAATTAGGCTAAACTAATTCACATTATGTTTTCAATATTTAGAAAATTATTTGAATAATAAAGTGAAGTGTATAATACTAAAATCAGTCTTTGAATTTTCCAGACTGTCCATTTTATCTATTTTTCTGTATATATTTTTAAATACCAAGTCATTTAGATTTGCTGAAGGCGAGCCAGACATAACAGTTGTAGAGAAAACAAGTGGGTCTTTTTTTTTGTTTTTTCAAAATTTTTTAATCAAGCCATTCAAACAAATTGCAAGGTGACTTGACTAAAAAAAAAAAAGTCAAGAAAATTCAAAAAATAATTTTAATAAACTTAAGAGAAGTTGATTACATAGTCAAAAAATAGAAGCCATTTTCTCCAAATAATCTGTAAATCCTCTCACAATTCTTACACAGGCACATTTACAGATTTTCTGTCAATTTATTTTTCATTTGAAAAAAAAAAAATTAAAAAAATATCAATGATTCTGAAAAACTACAATTCTTAAAACTAAATTAAAATTACTCACCTTTTCTGGTTTTAAAACTGGCATGAAAGACATCTTGTTGTCAATCCATTGTTCTTCAGATGGAGTGCCAGCATTTGCTATTCCTCCAGGATATACCTCACCATTATATCCAGGCTGTCCTCCAGCAGGGACTCCATAAACTCCAGCAGGGAGGCCTTCTTTTACCAAATCTTCTGTAGCCTGAACAGGTAAAAATCAAACATTTAAATACATTTAAAAAATAATAATGCTGCAAGTATTATAAAATATAAATTGAAACTACTAAATTATTCAAAATAAGTAAGTAGTATAAAAATTATCTTAGATGTAAATAACTTTAAAAAAGTCAAGCAAAACAATTTATATTCAAAACACTACATACAATTTAAAGTTTTAATTGATTTATAATACAAGAATATTAAAATAAAAAAAAATTACTGAGTTTATTAATCAGTATAAAATATAAATTAACTGAAAATATAAACACCAAATATGTTAAAAACAAAATTAAAATTTGACATAATAGGAAAAAAAAAAAAAAAAAAATATATACTCCACCCAACAAATATTTTAAGAAGTTATTAATGAAATGCTGATAAAAAAAAAAAAGATATCCTTACATCAATAACATAATTTCAAGTATACCCTTTTGTTAACATAACTTTAAAAAGTCTTGTCCTGCCCTTATTGCAAAAGAAGAAATTAGTTTACAAAATCTAAACTAAAAAAAATTCTTGCTGAAAGGAAGATCAATTTTCCGATTTCATTTGTGGTAATAAAAAAAATTTGAACAAGTAGTTTTTCTACAAATGTATTGAATAATAATAACAATATCTTTAAAAGCATTTAAAATCCACATATACAATCTAAAAAGATAGATATAAAGGAAGCTGGTAGCTGAAGAACAATTAATGAATTATGAATTTAAACTTTAATTTAAATACTTCAGTAGAAAACAGGCAGAACCAAGCAAGATTTCATGGACACATCACAAGATTGTCCTTTTATTTATGATTTTGTGAGAAAGGAATGTAATATTTTCAAATTATGAATGTAAAAAAGAGAATAAAAAAAAGGGAAAGTTTAATATTTCATGTTATTAAGCAGTAATGATCAACTGCCGATTCAGAAGTCATAAATTTTGATTATCCAATAACAGACACAAAATATCTAATTAATCATAGAAGAAAAAAAAAAGCACCCTAACAAGTTGAAATCATTTTTCCCATCACAGAGGCCGACACAAATGTTGGGGTATGGGGCAGGTAGAAAAAAAAAAAAAAAAAGGTTAATTTTTTAATTTAAATTTAATGACATTTTTTTTATCACAATAACCAGTCACGTATTTGAAATGGTAGAAACAGAACATGGTGATTGTTATTGCAAATAAAAAAAAAAAGTGTAAATAATTAAGATAAATGACTGAAGAAAATACCAAATATAGAAAGCAAGTTGGCATGTTGCGTAACTCTTGACAAAAACTGACTTTTTTTTTTATTTATTAATCAATAACAACAATGTAAGACTAATCTAAAAGAAACCATTTTGAGTACATTAATCTGAAATATGTTCAAAAGATAGAAAATTAAGATGTTAATTTAACAAGACAGTATATATAGGGTGTTTCTCTGAAAACATTATCAAAAAAATTAAGGGAAATAACTTATTCCCACTTCATTAATTTTACGCTTTTCTTTTTCTTTTATTTTTGTTTTATTAATATTATTCAGTCTAAAATATCCTTTTGTTCAATGAAAGGAAAAGAAATTACTTCAACTCAGAACAAAATTTTATGAAAATCTTAAGTAAATTTGCAAAAGGAGGATTACATTAAAACTAACACAAATTAGCCACAGAAACAGAATATAGCATTTTTTTTTTCAATATCACTAATTTTAATAACTTACAATTTATGTGTGTGTGTGTGTGTGTGTGTCTGTAGGGAATGAATACTGCTTCACTAAATTAATTTAAACTACATGATTAACAAAAAGAAAAAAAAAAGTTAAACAAGGCAAACCAATCTGATTTGTTCTTCACTGATTAAAAAAAAAAAAAAAATACTCTAGAAAGAGAATATTGCTTAAAACTGAAAATCTTTATACCTAATTATGGTACAGATATTTTGTATATATGCCAACAACTAAAAGGGATCTACTGTACAAAGTAGTAGTGTACATTTCTTTCATATTTATTTTGAACATAACATTAAATACTTAAGTTTTTCTTTTTTTCTATATCACAACAAAATAAAAATGAAGCAAGAGAAATAAAAGAAAGCTTGCGTGTTGCACATAAATCATGCAAATAATTATATTTTTAGAGATAAAACTTGAAATGTTTATTTCTTCTCTTAAAGCAAATTGTCATTTGTACTAACACTTAAAATGCACTTCCCCTGAACTGAACTATTTACATTTTTTTTTTTTAAATCAAGTAAAATTCTTTGGAGTACATTTGTGTTTTTGCATGTTAAGATGTTTTGTAAGGAAAAAAAAAAAAAAAAGAAAAGGTAATCATTTTCTTGAATAGGCTTAATTTTCACTTTATCAAAATTAAATCAATAGACAAAGATTTAAATTAGCAGTTTCACAAATCAATTTAGTATTAATTAGAATAACAAACTAAAATTAAAAAGAAAAAAAAATGTGTAGTTATGCAAAGGAAATTAAAACTAAACAAAGAAAGCATAAATTACATGAAAATATGAAATTGCACGACAAAAGCATGCTGGGAACAAATGACTTTTGAATTGGAAGAACATGTAGCCAAAGACAAAAACAGAGAGGATCAAATATTAATTGTATAAACAAGACAGAATAGAAAAAAAAAAAAAAAAATATATATATATATATATATATATATATATATATATTTTCAAATCTAAAAACTAATTCTTGGAAAAATTTTTTTTATTTCTTTTGAATTCAAATGCAATATTTAAAAAGTAAACTATGAAATTAGTATATTTGAAAAAAAAAAACAAAAAAAAAAAAAAAAAAAAAAAAAAAAAAACAAAAAAAAAACATTAATATCTATATTTGAGAATTAGTATGAAAGTGAGAGAAAAACAAATCTAGATCTGTTTTCAAACAAGAACAAGATTAAGTTGAATTCAAAACAGAATTAAGCAGAGGAAACATCTACTCGGAGAAGAGCAGTTGTCTCCCTTTGAGGCTGTAGCATTTTTAACAGAAATTTATAGAATGAAGATGGCATAAAAAAGTTCATAAATAGGATCATAAAAAAAAAAAATGGGGGATGAGAAGTAAATGAAAATAGATTTAAAAAAAAGATTAATTTGCATTGATTGTAGAGTTACAAAAATAATAAATTTATTTTTTAATTTAATGAATGAAAACGAGTAAAATAGAAAAAAAAAAAAATCACAAAAGCTGCCATAAAAGTTTGAAATTATAAATGTCAAGATATTTAAGATAAAAAAAAAAAACAGATTTTATTGAATTTTGAACAAGAAGCAATTAAGCTCGACAGAGTCTATTCTGTAATTTTTAATGAAATCAGAATGCATAATGCCTGTATAATAACCTGATTTTTTCTTTAGAAATTAGGAGTATGCCAGAAATTAAAATAAATTTGATATTCTGCCACAAACTAATTTACATAACAGATCAATGCAATTAAAAAAAAAAAAAAAAAGATTGATTGGTGATACAAAGAAGTGAATGCTTTAAGTTTGTTAATTTTTCTATCACAGTGCAATTTTCAGGGTCATGTGTCTAGAGTATGCTGATCCTGCTGCTTCATTCATCATGTCATACATAATCAAGTAAATTTCACTCATCCCATGAGTGACAGTCACCAAGTCACTAGACCAATCATCATCACACTTTGTAGTCACCAATCACAATCTCTGTTATAACCAACAATTTTCAAGGCAAATGTTCCAAGCAGCATAAGGCATGTTTTTGTTTGTTTTTCCTCCTTTTTTCAGTTGAGCAATGGTTACATGCTACAAGTAAAAGACAGGTGAAATAAGCTAAGAAACAAAAGCTAGAAATGGAGGAATTGCTAATGCAAGTTGCATGATTTCTTTTTTTTTTTTTTTAAATCATGTTTCACAGAGCTGTCAACAATTGTTAAGATTCCTTTAAATAAAAATAAATGATGATTCCACATTTGCTTTTATAGAAGTGATGAATTAATAATTATACAAAGAAATTTTTCAGAAATTCAATTCTTTTGTTAATTTTTTTTTTTTTTTTTTTTAAATTAAACCCACTTAGACTAATGAAATTGGAATTTTTATTATGAATTAATGGTAATCCACTGTACTTGAAAAACATAAATTATAATTTGTTGCTGATATAATAACTGGTTTGTTTTCGTTACAGCATAAAATAATGACAAATAATCTAAATCACCTGGACAAAAATTTAAGTTTATTTTGACTATTTGCAAAAGAAAAACATTTATAAATTTAATAAAATTATATCTGCTTGGAAAGATTGGCCATTTTGTTTCTAATTTTTTTAATATTTATCTTATTGAAGCATATATATATATATATATATATATATATATATATATATATATATATATATATATATAGAGAGAGAGAGAGAGAAAAAAAAACCTATACAAATAGGTTTCCATCAGGAAATTCAATGAAAGGCATTAAATTTTATTGATCAGCCATTTTAAAAGAAAATCCTTTAATATAAATATCTAAGTAGTGACATTAGATTAAGACATTATGTTTCTGGTTAAAATTTAGATTTCAAAACCTGATTTTGTATGAGAAATCTGGCAAATTTAAAAGTTACTTATAATGACTAAGTATACAGAAAAATATAAAAATACGAGAAGCAACTGATTATAGTTTTATCATCCAATTTCATTTTAATGTGTACTTTATTTGTTGTAAATTCAAATGTGCATAAATTAACGTTTTTTTTTTTTGGCATAAAATTTTTTTATGTAATTAATAGAAAAACAAAGTTCAATGGTATTTTGAAATGAACAACTAACCTGTTATCATCCACAGGGATAAAGCCATTTCAAAACCCTGCATACTCAGAATCCCTAGTAAAACGGTGATACAATGTAGCCATAAAAGAGTAATTGAAAGTGTACTTTGAATCGGTGATCTAAGATATGTGGTACCTAGACAAAGTGTGGTACTAAACCACAAAAGAATTTGAAAATAGTAATAACCACATGAATTTCAATTTCTCCCTTTTAGTGTAATGGAGAAAGTCAGATGAACAGGTCTACAGTGTGATTATTATTAGATCCTCACCCAAGAATCAAAACCTTATACATTTGAAAACAATGTTTTTTTTTTTTTTTAACCCAAAAGTTCATTTAACTGTGAGATATATATATATATATATATATATATATATATATATATATATATATATATATATATATATATATACATACATATGCAAAATATGTAAATACCCATACATGTATATTTTTTGAATAAAAATTCCAAGAGGATAGAATCCAGGTAGAACTCAATGTCCAGGACAGAGTAAGGATATAATAAAAAGGCTTAAACACTTATCAATCTTAAATCATTCCAAGTTATATTGATAACTATGCAAGAATCTTTCATTTATAAATCATACTTTAAATCATGCCTTAAAGACAACTATTACAGATATGTAGAAGTAATGACAAAATAACATTTTTCCTGCAGACATAATTATTAGTAAAAAAAAAAAAAAAAAAAAAACTGATTTTGAAAGATTTGACATTTTACAATTAAAATAACATTTCACATAAAAAAAAAAAAATTTTTTTAATTTCTTTAGGAGATTAAATTAAAAATCTGAAATTAAAAACAATTCCATTGTGATAAATTTAAAATAGAATAAAAAAATATTTTCACATAGGAAAGGTGACAGCTCTGTTCATTTGCAAATATCTATAGGTGCATGTGCATATATATAAGTAAATCTATACATATATAAATGCACTTAGACAAAAGTATTAGTTAGAAAAGAATAGCAGGATCAAGTTTCAAGGAGGATTTGGGCCTCATTATTTTCAAACCTTCTCAAGTGGTTCATTTTCCTCAACTATATCTGGGGACAATGAAGGTTCACCCAAATTAGAAAGGGCTTCAGGTGTTGTTTCCTCAACAGGTTCATTTTCCTCAACTATTACTGGGGGTAAAGGATGTTCATCCAAATTATTCACAGGCCCCAAGGTTGTTCCCTCAACAGGTTCTGTTTCCTCACTAATAATAGATGGTAATGGTGTCTCATCAATGATGGCATCTTTTGCTTCTGTAGATGTCAGTTTATTATCCTGCCCCTCTATTCCTTCAGCAGATGAGTCTGAAGAACTTGATGAAGATGATCCCTTTCGCTGTAAGGATGAAGGGAGGGTAATAATAACAGTTAGATCTGCATTCAAGGTTCCATGCTAGAAACTCGTTAAAGGTAAGCTAAGGTAGAAAAGGCCATGATTTGAAGAATGAGTTTTTTCAAGAAGTTAAGTTTTTCAAATGTGTGGTACAGAGCTGCCCATCTGCTAACAAAAAAAAAATCATTTTTGCCTTTGATCTGGACCTATAACTGCATTTTAATTTATGGGAATATACAAACAGTAATACACTAAAATTTTAAATGCTCTAATATATTTAAACTTCTTATCAGGCAGAGCTGGTTATAGGTAGAAAATTCACAATTTATAGTTGAAATAGGCTTTTCACTAATATGACAACCTCATAATAAATTTAAAAAAATAAACATTAAGAGATGATATCCAGTATTTGAGTATAACAAGGTTACACAATTACAAGTCAAATTGCTCGTCTTGAAACCAATCTTAAGTCATATTCAGATTGACATAACTAACATCTTGACAAATAAAGAGCAACATTCGTTCTTTCTCATCCATTCTGTTTACTGATAGCCACAGAATAAAGTTCTGAGTTGTTGCCATAAAAAGAAACTAAAATTAAGATGAAAAAACAAAAAATGGTTTTGTTGAATTGGTCATATGTTGAATAATCATCTTGTAAATTTTAGGGATGACTTAACTTTCTGTACAAGAAACTCTTTTTATGGATGAGATTGTAAAGCTTTATTGTATTATTCTATAATTTAGACAAAACAATGGTTTCTTGTGAAGACTTTGTAATAAAAAATGTATTAATGAACAGAACTAACTTTATAGAGTTACAGAGGGAAAAAAAGGTCCTGAATACATAGAATTTTTGCTTAAAAAAAAAAAAAAAAAAATGTAGATCAGACATTTTTCAGTATCTGTCTATATTTCTGAGATGAGGTATTATATACCCTCAAGGACACATGGCACACTGGATAAAGGCATTGGGTAAATCCAGTGACAGGACCCAAAGAGTATGAGTTCAATACCCGGTTAAGGCAGTGGAGAACTTGGAGATGGGAATTAACAGGAAATGACTGATAACTGACATCCATTAAACATAGCATGTGGAGCTGAAACAGTCTACCCCAGCGAGAAAAATAAAGTGTTCAGTTTGACATTCCAATCACCTGAAGAAGGCCAAAACGTTGTAACAAAGATGAAGACAATAGCCCGAATAATGTAAATTGTAGACATTTTTCAATAGACACTGAAATGCTTGACTTCTAAAGGAACCACATAAAAACTAATCTGCTTCTCAAATTTACCATTTTTTTAAAAGGCTTTTCAATGCCATAACAGTTGAGTTGTTCAAAATTCATTATTGATCAGAAATAATTATAGATCTCTGATGTTTATAATGACAAATACTAAAATAACAAAGACAGTTGTCATTGTGCAAGAATAGGCTTGTGTATTTGAACCAGGATTTAATAAATATATCTGCTATAAACAAAGGGTATCATCTCAAACCAAAGTTGATTGGTTGAGTTTATGACTCTAGAAAAATAAAATTTAATTTATTAATTCATTTATAATATTACCATAACAGTAACTGTTCCAAAGTCAAGCTTTACAAATACTAAATGCATCACAACTACTCAGTGGTAATCCTTATTAATAGGTTACTTATATATATATATATATATATATATTTTCAAGCAGGTTTCATTGAATAATATAGACACATGCCTATTTTTATAATCCTTTCTAGTTTTCTAATTAGCTTCTTGATGTTGAAATTCATCAAGAAAGGTGCTGTAGATTTTGTTATACCAAGTACTTTTGATCTCCTCCAAGATCATCTTCAGGGGGTGAATTGTGAAGACAAACTTAATGTAACTGATGGTGATTTTTGTAAACACACATGAATGCACGGTTATAATTATTTTAAAATATAAATTTTATCCATTGTAACTACAACTTTTTTTGTAAACAAGTGTCCACAATGTAAGGGATCTAACCAGAGATCGTAAAAATGCGACATGGCATTAAATATGTATTATTTATTTTACACACACAACTATAATTGAAATAATTATCTACATTAATTACTACTTCCATATGAATATATGCATAGTTAAAATTTTCCTTAAAAAAAAAAAAAAAAATCTAGATTTTGCAAATTTTTCTGGAGGTCAGAGGGAATTAAAAATTTTAATATACAGACAAAATTTCAATTTTTTTTTCCCCAGATGACAGCTCTGTTTTTAACGCAAACAAATACCTCCATGTATATATAAACAAACATGTAGGTATGCATGTGTCTGCATCTTACACACACACACGGAGATGTAAATGTATTAGTAAAAAGTAATAGTAAATACAAATCAGTAGTTTATGAAGAGTAATGGTTTTAACACAATATTTTCAAACCTTAACTGGTTCTTTGCCAGCTTGCCCATTAAGAGCTTTATCCCTTTTTCCTTCCTTTTCTTCATCTGAGGATTCTGATGAACTTGAAACTGTGCTCTTTCGCTGTAAGGATCAATGAAGAGGTGGGAGGGGAACATGAGTGCGTGTATATGTTGCAGATTTTGAGAAGTAGCAGTCCACAAAAGTATCACTCTAAATGAACAGACAGATTATCTCAAGATCTTATAAGTGATTATCAAAATGTACTTATAGATAAAAATAAAAACAAATAAAGATTAAATTGTTGAGAACTGGTTAAAGTTTTTTTTTCTTGATTATTATAAATAATTTCCATTACTTTGACTTCATTTATATGAGATTATACAAAAAAAATATAAACACTTATCAATGTATAAATTTTAATTAACAATGCGAATTATCTCTTATCCAACACAAGAGCATGAAAATGTGCATTATACCAAAAATAAAAATAAAAAAAAATAAAAAAAAACACATGTTAATGTAATCCTCATTGGAGAAATAAAATTAATTTAAAAAGTTCATTTAATGATGTTTGCTTTATATAATTCTGAAAGGGAAATTATATATAAGCCATTGGGATGAGTAGAGTGAAGTGTTAGTAGGAAGATGAAAATATATTAACATTTTGGAATATTTTAAAACTAAAAATATATTTTAAACCCCCTCTATCTTGCATAGTTATGGTCAGATATAGGAATCAACAGAATTTAACAATCTAGGAAACTTTAAATTAAATACAGAATTCATTTTTTCATATATATTTCATGATAAATTTATGGGTAATCTTGCATGATGCAAAGTAGAGAATGTAAAGGGCATAAATAAATTCAAATATACATGTTTAATTTTGTTGAGTTGGAAATTACAAAGAATTAAAAAAAAAAAAGTATGTATGTGACATAAGATAATTTTGAAAATGTGTTTCAGATATTAATAAATTTACAAATCAATTTTTGAAAAGCAAAATAAAATTTATGAAATGAGAAAAATAAGATGTTTAAGTGTAAACATCTGTTGATATGTGAATGTTAAAGACTCCCAATTTTAATGTTTAAATGAAATTAAGTTTAGTTTCTGATTCAAAGATTTTCATTTTTAACCTTTAACACTCTGCATTATTAATATTACTCCCCTTTCCACTGCATTCTTTTTCAAGGCCTCTCAATTGCAGTATCCTTATTGTTAATTTCACTCAAAGTTGTTTTTTGTTGCCATAGCAGGATACAACAACACAACTATGACATTCAAAGGGGTGCAGAATTAATTTCAACTTCACTCTCCACAATGCAAATGAATCCAAACTTTTATTGTTGATAACTCCAAAACGGTAGATTTTTATCAAAATTTCATTGTTATTTTTGAATTAAGCATGTACATTTACACCAAAATAGAACTATTTAGGAAATTTTTAATAAAAACTGAGCATGGGTCTTGAAAAGTTGACATTAGTGCTGTCACCTCATTCAAATACACTATTGCTCAGGGATCAGAGTCACCCTCAGTGGTAGGGTATACTTTTTGTACAGCAAATGAAATCAAATACAGAGTGATAAAGGTTAATATCAAAAAATAAAAATTAATTTCCATTAGAGAAGACGAAACATTCCACTTTTGGTTGTTATTTTTAAACATACATAAATATGAATATTTTACAAGCATTTAGGTATATGATAGTAAACACTTGAGAGAATTAGTTTTTTCCTTTAATTAGTCAAGACTGTAAGTAGAGTTGTTTGAACCAAAATAATACCATCTTGACAGACCAGAAACAAATTTTGATCCCAGTTGAAATAAATCCTGAAATTAGTATATATTTTAATTAAAAAAATATATGCAAATGCAGTAAATCCTCAAAATTCCATATACTATGATTTAATGTAAATTCAGATATAACTTGACGGCTCCGAGTTAATTTCAAGTTTGTTTTTTTTTTCTTTTTTGTGAATATTTTTCTTATAGATAAAAAAATTAATTAAACCTTAATTTACCATGGCTTTGATTTTACCATGATGATATTTTATGAACAGTAGTAATATAAGGTCATAATGTCGTCATTATAATAATAGTTCTAAAGTAAAATTGGGAGAGGGGGGTGCTTAAAAAAAAAAAAAAAAAAAAAAAAAAAAAGAAATAGGATCTATTTTATTTCCCACCATCTAAAATAAAATCAATTTTAAAGAACACAAAAAGGTTTGTATCCATGAGAATGCGGCAATGAAAGTTATAAAATTCTATGGACAATTATGAATTTGGAATATATATGTCAACACTCAGAGGCGACAGGCTGTTTCATGCTGGATGTAATCGCGGCCTGATGATTGTGTCAAGCATGTAACAGCATGTCGCCTCTGAGTGTTGACTTTAATGTTCACTTTTATATTTATATACACTATCTCTGATATTGAGCACTTTATCCCATAAATATATCACACCTTAAAACTATATATATATATATATATATATATGTGTGTGTGTGTATATATATATATAAATAAAATTGTGTATTTGGGCAGCAATCCCACTTTTATTATTAAAAATGACAAGGTACTGTGGTTAAGTTTTTATTTTTTCTTCTGTTCTTATAATTTTCTTCTTTTCAGGATGTAAATTATGTAGAAATACAAATCATGCAAAACATTTGGACAATTCCTATATAATTTACATATTGAAAAAAAAAAAAAAAAAAACACAAGAAAAATTTAAAAAAACTTCAGCGCAGTGCCTTGTCAGTCATTTTAATGTGTGTGTGTGTGTGTGTGTGTGTGTGTGTGTGTGTGTATATATATATATATATATATATATATATATATATATATAAACTGTTACACTGGAACATGCAAGTTACTGTGACAAAAATGCATATTTGTTTCAACGTCCAAAAGTATCACTTTGTCGCAATAACTTATGTTCCATTGTAACACTTTATAATAAATATTTATTGCTCTACTTCTTGTAATGAGCCCCTTTTTAAATTAATGTTATGAATGTTTGAATTTATATTCTTTTTGTTCTTTTACACATACATACATACACACACATATACGTGTGTGTGTGCTGTTATTAAGTGCAAATTACACATGGAAGATAGTAGCCATGAATTTGTAGGTAGGAAAGAAGTTCATCTCAAAATACTTATATCATCTTATTTATACTAAAGTTCTTGAGAAAAGCTTGAATTCATATCCTCTCCCCCACAAGACAGACAGAGCTCTTTGGGTGACAGTTGGTCTAAAGAGGTCAAAACTGTGGATAAAGTAATATGCAACCACTCTATCTTTCCCAAAAAATAAAGAAAAGGAATCTGTGGAAAACTTTGGCTGCTTATGTTCAAAAATGAACATTCCATTAAAGAAAAAAAAATATTAAAATATAACTGCAATAACAAAAACTGTATTTCACCCCCCCCCAATAGTCAACCAGAATAATTCTGAAAGATAATGTTTTAAGGCACATAGTTTTTTGTAATTGTAGTACAAAATATCAAGATACAGAACATTAATAAAATTTACCATCAAGTCTCCTGAAGAGTGGATGTAATTTTACAAAATTCAGAATAGAGACTAGGATAACTGAAAAAATTTGATTTATATACAACTTGTTCCAACAAATAATTTTTATTTGAGAGAGAAGGTATTAAAATTATCTAATGTTAATATTTGTTTTTACTTAACTATTATTTTTTTTTCTTTAAGTTAGCTTTTTAACAATTACGTTTTTTGTGAATTTGATTTGTCATTGCTTACATATATCTCACAGTTTAAATACATATTTATTAAAGTTTTAAGTCATTTTATATTTTTTTCCACCCATTTCATGATCTTCTGTATGTATAAATAGCATATGAAGATGAAGAGATGTTTATAACCAAACATTTTTTAGTTTATTGATAGTACATAACGTCACTATTTTATGAGAAAGTAGTGAGACAAAACTTTAAATAAAAATGTTTTAAATCCTTTTACAGTTCTATTGCTGGTAAAAGATAAATAATTAGCTGTTAAAATTTTATTTCAAGTTTATTTTACAAGAATGAAAAGTTAGGTAGATATTCTATAACTCATCACAAGAACTAAAATTATTTTTCCAGAAGCCATATAAAAAAAAAAAAAAAAAAAATGAAGGTAAAAATAAGATAGTACATGAAAAGGAAAGACTTGAAATTAAGAGCAATATATTTAAAAAGTTTAAAATAAAATTTATAAATCTCTAATATTCACAATAAAAAGAAATACTGAGATAGATTTTGGCCATAAATGAAAAAAAAAAAATTTTTAATTTTAATTCTGGTTAATTTTTTGTTTTGTCCTTTTGTAAAGAGGATGGAAGTGAAAAAATTCTTTTAAATTACTTAAAAAAAAAAAAAAAAACATTCAGAAAATCCTTAAATGTCTTCAATATATTTCTATTTAAGATTGGCTAGTGGGAAAATAGAAAAGAAAATTGTTCGATATAAAAAAATATTTTACAAAATTTGAATTGGAAACTAAGTCTGATCATATTTTTTCCTTTCATAAAGAGAGAGCGTAGAGAAAAAAAATAATTCAGCACCCTCTTGTTTCTTCTGATATATATAAAAAAACAAAAAAAAAAAAAAAAAAACAGTCGAAGCCAAGGTGTTCATGTGGCATGACAAGAAAAATAAACAAATTCAAATAATAAGTTTGTACTTTAGAAATCATAGGCCGAAAGTAAAATGGCCATATTTTCATTAAAACCATGCTATTACATAAAAATGCAAAATAGAAGCAAAAAATTGATGATTACAAAAGATATTAGTTAAATGGCTGAACAAGATGACTCAAACACAATTATTAGGAGAGGAACAAGTCCAGACCTGAGGTGGCAACAAATGACACATAATAGAATTCAAAGTACACAGGTTGGTTTCTGCTGGACCACCTTTCGAGATGATGGAAATATAGCAAATTTAGATCAAGCTGGTTAAAGCAATCAGAAAATGGCAAAGCTTAATAGTACAACTTAAAGCTTTTATGACATTTTTTTTTTCCACTTCTGGCAGAGATAATACTGGAATTACAAGCCGTTTACACTGATGTCATCAGATGCATCTTTCTAATAGA